TTTTTTGTTTTAGTATTTTGAAGTTGACCAATTGTTACTATAAGCAATTAATGATTATAGATGATCTGCACCGTAGTTTTTTCTTTAAAATAAAAATTGGCAGAGCCTTAGCATTTCGAAAATTCCAAATTTTGTTATACTCTTAAGTAATTGTGACTAAATAAATTTCGTGTAACAAATTTTTTTCATAAAATATTTTCTACAACATATATCATAACAAAAGTTCTTTACTGGTCAAACAATTTGTCACACTAAATGATTGGGAAGTGTATTTTCCAAAAATTTTTGGTGAAATTCTATTAATAAAATTAGCCACCTTAATTTTAACCCTTTTTTGCTCAGCAATCTCCACCAAATTTGAGACAGATTTTTCATGACTTATTCCTTCTTTTAGAAAGAAATTAGGAGAGGCTATTAAAAAAATCTTGGTGTTAAAGTTTATCACCAAATTACTGCATTTGGAAATTAATTATCTCTTTTTGGTCATTACTCCTGATCAGGGTTGGCAAATTGACTGGTCCATAGGGTTTGTATTAGGACCAGGAAAACTCTATAGTATGTGACCGCCAAATTAAATGGCAAATCATATTAATGTGAATCTTAGTTTTTTATAATTATGTGAATCAATTTTCTGAACACATTTAAAAAATTATTAATAATGCAAATCGAAATCAGCCAAGGACATATGAAATTTATCTTTATTAATTAAAAATATTTAAAAGGAAGTTTTGTGTACTTGACATACTTAAATGATTATAATTAAAAATGTTTCATCATCTACTGCAATCAAACAAGGATTAATATTAGAGTAAGAATGTATTCCCAAAAATAAACTACTTCTTGTGGTGTAATATGAATTGTAATGTCTCTTCCTGCAAAATTTTCACATGAAAAATACTGGAAGATAAACTTTAATAGAAATATATGATAAATGATCTAAAAATCCTGCTGGATTTTCTACCCATGCATGTTGTTGCCCACATTTCTCATAAAATGTGATTACTTTACCCAAACACAAGATTTTATTGGAATACACAAATAAAAATCCATTCTTGCAAAGTGAATGAATATCAGAAATATTTGCAAACCCAATGTTTGTTACTAACAAAACAAAAATTTTAATCAATTTTATTATATTCCTCATAAGTTAAAAAACACTGATTTCTATTACCTGGTAAATTATTAGATATTGTTTCTAAATGCCTTCTACCTTCCCATCAATCCTGACGTTGTCCTCTTTGAACTTCATTAACATTGTTTGCTGTTATTTCTGTAATAATTCTATTAAAAGTGTTCCCATTTGTAGCACTATTATTTGTATTTATTATTTGTTGTGAATTAGTAAAATTAGATTGAAGATTATGAGAAAATGCATCATGACTTTTACGAATTTCTAAAATAGCTGTAATATCTAAAACATTATTTTCAATGAATAATTGAAATGGTTGAAATGCAACAGGAACAACTTGAGAATTCTAAATGTATTGGATATCAGGGAAGTCTCCAGATGGTAATGGTTGTAATTCATCTTCATATTCATCTTCCAAAACTTCATCTTCATGCAATTGATTGTTATTTGCACTTGATAATAAGCAAGCTACTTCCAAAGCTGCATTACCAGTTAGTGATATAGATTCTAAATTTAATTCATTGGAAGAGTCTACATAATAAAATATTATAAAAGATTAAAATTTTGAATATAATAAATAATTAATATTGGAATATAATAAATTACCATTTATTTCACAATATTGATCTCCATTATCTTCTGAAAAAGCATTATTCATATTTTCTGTGGATGTAATAATTGGTGGGATTGTGTATTCATTATGCTTTATATGAAGGTAGTTTGCTAAGAACATGGCTTCATTAAATGCAATTACAGTAGATTCTTTGATATCATCAGTAGTAGGCCAAGTGTGAAGTATTTCAATTGTTTCATGAGGTAATGAAGTGCCATCTATGTCAAAAACATAGCCTAAGAAAATGGAGTTAATAAAATAAAGAGTGAATAATATTTTTTTATAAAAATAGAAAATAAATCATTATTTACCTGCTGCTGAATTACGATCTCTACTGGTATCTATTATTCCTGCTCGAGCAATTTTATCACGATATGAAACCCTTTGTTGTATTTTAAAAAACTCATTAAAATTAAAATCAGGAAGTATTCTTCTAGAAATTCCAAAAATATGTTCCAATCCCTCAGTTCCATGTTCCCATGGAAACAAGGGAAACAGAGAGTAATATTCACGATGTGCAATAATAAGCATAATTAAAGACTCTGCCATGCTAATAAAAATATCATAACTTTGGATTGAGATAAAGCTTTTCTGTAAACTATACCATTTCTTTGAATAATGAATGCTACAACATTCAATATAATTCTTCCATGTATTTAGAAAAAAATAAGCACACAATACCATTTCAATACGTGTTTTGTGATCAATAGTTCTATTTAGATAGGCATCACATAATTCACCTAAAATAAATATATAATAATATATGTAAGTACATAAAACTTTTAAGTGACAATATATATATAAAAGTAATTACCTAACACAAAAAGATATACAAAAAGTCCAATAGATTCTTCAGTTAAGTTGCCATTAACTGGAATTTGCATTAAATTATTTGAATGAAAGGTGCGTAAGGCTGCATTATCATCTTGTTTGTCTACATTCAAAACATCACGTTTTAAAAGGAAATGTTGTGATCAATGTGCCAATTCAAAAAGCTGATCATAATGCATTGTGCTTATTCCAAGTGATAAAAGTCTTGCACCAGTATGTATTTGGTTTCTTGCAGTTTTTTTGGCATGTTTGGGGTCTTGGACTCTAATAAATGGTTTACCTTCATAAATTGGAGCTTTGAAATTTATATTATAGAAAGCATCTTTATATTCAAGAAAACCAGATGCTTCATTCATAATGATTGATTGTGCATTGAATTCAGATCTAGCTCCATCTGATCCAAAACTTAATATATTTAAATTTGCAACATTTGCTAATTCAATTACTTCACGTAACAAATTTGAAATTTGATCAGCAGATTCATCACCTTTTGTTGGCAACATTGCTACTATCATTGGTGGAACTTTACCAATAGGAACCTAAAATACAAAAACAATTGCATTTTTTTAATTTATTGAATAATTGATTTTAAATCTAAAATTACTAACCTTTAATGCAATAGCACGAACTTGTGTAGCAACTGCATCATTTTGTAAAATATAATTTATTTTTGGATGTATATCATCAATTGAAGAAATTGTTGTTTCATCATGTGGCAAGGTTGATCCAGTTATATAGTTAAGATCCTCAGAATATACAAGTTTTTTTCATAGTTTAGTTGAATCTGTCATTACTATAATGGGTCCATTCCAATTAATACTTGAGACAAGTTCTGCAAACTTCATAAAATTGTCTAATATCAAATCAGGGTTGGTAACTACACTAGAATCTGTTTTGCGAATTTGTCTATTAAGATTAATTATAAATCAGTCAATTAATCAATCAATCAATTTATTTATTCAATTTAATAAGAAAATAAGAAATCTACCTTATTCTTTGTATTGAAAGACCAGAAAATGCTTTTTTAAAAATTTCATATTCTCTGGAACTTTCTGATAATAAACTGAAAAAATGAACTAAATGTTGAGAGTATCGTAATCCATTTAATTTTTTATTTTGTGATTTTTTTTCATTTATTTTTACCATTAAATTTATAAGTTCAACAAAAGTATGTTCCCTATCAAATGCTCCACTTAAACCAAGTTGAGATACCTTAGACCAAAAGGCTGCATCATTATTTTCACTATTTGCGGCAACCCAAACTGATTGTAGGTTTGGATTTTTGAGTATTTCTTGAAGGTCAGATAAATGGTTTTTATAATAGTGATGAGGGATATACTTGATAGTATTATTTACTGCATGTCTCTTTATTAATTGATATTAAACAGTCAACTTCTTAAATTTAAAGAATGGTAACTTAAGTGAATAATATTAATATTAAAAGAATAACCTTGTTTATTGCTTCTTTTAGGCGTTTATTTTTTGTTAATTTATCACACTCATCACAAATAAAACTTTCATTAATCGTTTTTTTTTCACAATGAATATGATAAACTGCTAGAACTTCTTTATCCAAACGCCAAGTAGCTTCAGTTTCTAATGCTCTTTTAAACTCTTGTAGTTCAGATTTAGAAAGTTTTCTTCAAGAAAAAGATTTGTTTGCAGGAAATTTTTGAGGAAAAAGTTGCTTTGCAATTATTTCAGGTTTTTTACCACCTCCAA